ATTCTGGGAGTTGAAGTCCACACATCTTAAAATTGCCAAGGTTGAGAAACACTGGTCTAAAAAATGGCAGAAATGTAGCACTCTGGGAATCCAAACACCTCTCGTCATTTTTTTAACAAACTGCCCATATCCTAAGCGTTCAAGGGATTCCCTAGCACAAACATTTCCTGCAGAAACACACTGCTTACAAGAAGGGGTTTCTGTTTTGGCAGAATTTTGGAATAAGAGTTCACTTGCTTTCTTTCTGGGTTTTGCATAACGTGGGAACAGCATGATGGGTATGGAGGTATGCAGAATTTTAACAGCGGAGTATCAAAATAATACTGACAGCAGAGCGGCTTGAGCTCACGTAGCATGCTAAGCCAGAGTTTGCATTAACGCTAGTTTGTTGAAGGGTACAACAGATCCATCCTACACCATTGTAAAGAGCCGGAGCCAAGCCAATCGCACGACGTGTGAACCACCCAGCCAGCAAAGATTAGCCTCGGTACCCCTGCCCTCTGCCCACACCACATCCCCCAACCTCAGCGCCCGGCACTCACTCCCTTTCTGCCTTCCCAACGGCTCCTTTCACAAGTTCCAGCATCTCGTCTCCTCCGCACCAGTTCAGGCTCATCGAGTGGCATTCTGGCGGGGTGTCAAGAGAAGCCACGCGGGGACCCTCAAAGAGGTAGATCTTCTTGCAGCAATAAGGCTTGGGCAAGCCGTCCTCCGGCCCCAGCTGAAGGCGCTCGTTGATGATCCGATGGAGAACGGGGTGGTTCTGGTAAGGGTCAGCTGCAAACAGGCCATTCCAAAAGCAAGCGAGAGAGAAAACACGGGTGAGAGCAAGGCGGTCCGGGGGGCCGGGTATGTCAATACGGCGGCCACAACCGTGAGATCAAAGCCCCGCCCTGTTCTTACACATATCACTGCACACATTAAAAAAGGGTGGGGGTTTGTCAGCCTTCCCAGGTAGGCCAGACAGGAAACACAACCAGATGAGCTAATTCTACTTGATTGTAAAGCTGCATTAACAGAATCTTGTCAGTCTGAAAGTACAATTCTCCCGCCATCTCCTTTACAGCCCGAGAAATTAGGGAGGGTCTCTTCTGAGCCTCTTTCTTCCCCCCATTATGCAGCTGTGGGCTATGCTGTCTCTTATCCGACTGTTTCCTCGGCAGCATCTCTCCACCCTGTCTCTCAAGGTCATTCCCACAGACCATGACAGGCTTCGGTTGCATAACTGTGACTGTCTTCTTTGACCCCCTCCCTGCAGACTCCTGTGTGATGTCAATGCAGAGGCTCTCGAGGCCAGCGCCAGCACGTTCAGGGTTCTGTCAAACCCACCCTTGGGAGACTTGAGGGCTCCCCTCCCTGCCCAGGAAGAGCACCGGGCTACTAACTGCACTGCTCAAATCCCAGCTCGAGAGGACTGGAAAACAGCAAACTAAGCAGCGTTAGGGGTCCCTGCACTGTCCGGCCATTGGGTGTTCCCTAGAGCAAAGAGACACCCCCAAAGGAACAAACTTTAGAAGAATCACACACCATCCGGGATCTCTTTAAGGTTCTGTTTGCCTGCATAGATCCACGATATGGCAGTACTAGGGGAGGTCGGTCGAATCCATGTGCCAAAATCAAAGAGAAGCTCTTTGCCCTCCCCTGCCTTTGCCCCACAATCCTAGAACATGACACTCCAATTTGGAAATCCAGGAAGATGCCCTGATCCTGCAGAGATGCCTCAACAACCGCCACAAAACGTAATCACCTAGGACGATGCTGGTGATGTACACAGGGTGGAGGAAATGGCTGAGGAGGGCCCCCTGGACCCCCAGGACAGTCCAGCGGGTCAGCTTGTCACTGCCAGAGACACAGTAGACGTGGGTGGACAACGCGCTGGGGCAGCAATACGAGACAGGCTTGAGCACCCCTTTCACGCTCACGTGAAGATCAACAGAAGGATTTGAGTGCAGTACGGTGGTCCTGAAAGCAAGCAAACGCAGGGGGAACATCAGCTCAGCAGAGGAGAGGATGTGGGGAGAGGAATCGGGTGAAAGCATGCAAATCTTCTGCAACAGAAACGTCCTGACCCCAAAAGGGTCTATTCTGAGGTCACTGGAATGGTTCCAAACTCAAAACTGTCCATTCCAAGGACACCTTTTGGAGCTGGGATCGCTCGAGAAAGACCCCAGGCAGAGCCACGAGTCACAGGATGCAACTGCCCTGATGAAGTAAAGCAGGTCTGAGATCTAAGTGGCGCAGAAATGGAGGAAGGCAGGGAATCCCATACAGGCCCCCCACCTCCCCCAAGCGCCAAGCTGGAAGGAAGGCAGAATACCAGGAATTCAAATTCAATATTATTTATTTATCTATCTACCCAATGTATAACTATCTTTTCTTTTCAGTGCAGGGAGCAGCCTTGCAAGTTGGAAGAAGCTTGGAAGAAATGATTATTCTACTCAGGGTTGTTGTTGTTTTTTTGGTCTGCACAAAGCCAGGACGGAATTCCTTTCACGTACATCAGGCTGCTGACATACCACTTTGCCAGATGTTGGAAGTGAGTAGGAAAGGACAGTCCACGTTTGAAGATGTCCGTTTGGCTTCAGGGCATGTTTTCCAATCATTTAAGAAAACAGAATAACTCTGAGCACGTTGCAAGACGTGCCTCAAACTGCTCTTGCCTACATCAACGTTTCTCAAACTTGGCCAATTTAAGATGTGTGGACTTCAACTCCCAGAATTCCCCAGCCAGCAGGAATTCTGGGAGCTGAAGTCCACTCATCTTAAAGTGGCCAAGTCTGAGAAACGCTGGCCTACATTTGCCTCGTTTCAGTGAGAATCAAAGTCCTCGGGTTCAGTTTCCAACCTGTCTTCTAAAGACCGGAAGACGAGCTACGTTGCTCGTAGCACAGACACCCACGCCGATCTGATCCGACCCCCTTCTTCCAACCCTCACCTGCTCTAGGTCCTGCTCCAGCGTTCACACAACACTCACTGGAAGTTTTCCATCGCTCCACTGGGTGTTTGGCTCAGGTAGAGGTGCAGGTAGTAGTTTGGCTTCAGTCTCAGGTGTCCCCCGTCTTCGGCCCAGCAAAAGATGCACTTCTCGACAGCTGTGGGATCCTGGCTACAGCACATCAGCAGCTGTTTGTAGAGGTACCTGAGGATTCAGCAGATGTGGAGCCCAAGCAAAAGCAGAGCCGGTGGCCGTCTCAGCCAGAATCAAAGGGGGGGGGGAAATGGGAGTGAGCCCCGAATCGGGGTGCTGCAACTCAATGGGATGTCCTGAAAGCCAAGTCCAGCTTTCAGAACGCACCAAGGAACAAATGGAAGCAACAGCACTCCAGATGTCAAGATCTGACCTTCACGAGATTCCCTTCCTTTGCAACAAAACAGGGAATGTTAGTCTCAGTGAACAGGGTTAATTTCTGCCTAAGTTCAGAGCCCAAAAGCAGTCAGAGTCAGAATCAGTGGAACCAGCTTCCGTTCCTCTCGCCACCGCCAAGGCCTCAGACTATAACTCATGCTTACAATTTAAGCACGTTAGTTTGGAAACGACCTGCGACGTATCTTGAAAAATGCTGGTGCCTGTCCAACTCCAGCTGACAAGAGACACTTGAGCTGACTGAGAATCCTCCTCTCCGGTGAGGACACTACAACCACCTGACCATCCCTGCCATGAGCTAATCCTCATCAAAGACCCCACATCTCTCGGGGTGACCCCAGGCACCTCTCCAGGGGTGCATCTCAGCCTGGCTCCAGCTCCTTCTTCCTCAAATCCAGCTGTGCCTTTGGGGAGGGAGGCAGAGGGCCTTACCTCATCAGAGCTCTGCGGGCCACCACCAATCCGTGCAAGTCGTGGAGTTTCCGGCCATCAAACTCCATCCACCCCTCGTAGCAAACGTCTCCGGTTCCCAGGGAGACCAGCTCGTAAGTCTCCTTGTAGGGGCTCTGGCTGCTGGCAACCTCTTGAGAGAACAGAGAAGAAAATATGGGCTTGGTGGACTGGCTCAGGGTGGAGGAACCATTCGTAGGAATCACTGCAATGCGGAAGCTGCCTTTTGCCTGGCACTGGGGTGACCCTACGTTGGGGCTAACAATGGGGGACAAATCCAATCGCAATTCCTGCAGCTACACCCCGTTCTCGTAGCTTGTGCTTAAGAAGGGCCACAAGGATGCTGACCCACCTGAGGGTTCATCATCTCTGCAGCTTTTGCTGTCCTGTGACTGACCTGCATTTTTTAATTAACACCTGGAAGAGAGGTTGCTTGGACAAGCCAGCTCTTCCTACAAATCCAATCGCAATTCCTGCAGCTACACCCCGTTCTCGTAGCTTGTGCTTAAGAAGGGCCACAAGGATGCTGACCCACCTGAGGGTTCATCATCTCTGCAGCTTTTGCTGTCCTGTGACTGACCTGCATTTTTTAATTAACACCTGGAAGAGAGGTTGCTTGGACAAGCCAGCTCTTCCTACTCACTCTTGTGAGCTGTGGGATAACAAACTTTATCTTAATAGGAGAGCCAGCTAGGCTTAGTGGGGAAGGCCCCAGGCCAGAAAGCAGGAGACGGTGAGTTCTAGTCCTGCCTGAGGCATGAAAACTGGCTGGGTGACTTGGGGCCAGTCCCTCTCTCTCAGCCCAACCCACCTCACAGGGTTGTTGTTGTGGGGAAAATAGGAGGAGGAAGGAGTATTAGGTATGTTCGCCACTTTGAGTTATTTGTCAAAATAATAACGGTGGGATAACAAATCTA